GCTTGGAGAACTTTGTAAGCACTGAATAATTGACAGAGAAATATCATTAAGCCCGTTTTTCTGAGTGCTTAGTGTGTGTGTGTATATATGGTGATTCTATTTAATTCATTGTCAATATACAGAAGCCAACACTTTGTTTTCATGACTACAAGCTAAAAGCTGGCTTCCAGATACTCAAAACAAGCATTCTGGCTCTATTCTCTTGATTTTACAGACAAGATATCTCCCCTTCCACCTGTCTGCATCCCTAAAAGGGACTTTTTGCCAAAATTGCAGGCTGTGTGCTTAGAACAGAAATATTTAATTTACTATTATTATTATTGCACATATTTTGTGTAACGTTGTCACAAGAGATTGTTGAAAATCGGAGCTTAGCAGGATTTGAATAAGACTGGGAATGTGCATGGATAACCAAGTGAGGATAGAGTTACAATAATGAAGTTTAAAAATAAAGAAAAATATCCTCTAGAGCTTTGGAGTAGTTACAAAACTGCCCTGTTTCAAAGCATGCCACTGTTTAATAAATGAGGGCTCTGCTGCCAGAGCTGCCCGCTCTGGATTACTGGTTTGCTCTGGGAAGTGGTGGCTGTGGGGGCGCTGATGGTTTGCCCCACTCTGGCCCATCCCAGGGGAGGCCACTCTCCCAGCTGCCCAAAAACTTGTAATTTCAGGCCGTTCGTGGGTTGCAGAGGTTGGTGGACATCCCCTCTTTCAGGGCAGCTTCTTTGGAGGGACTTGAATTATTCTCCGAGCAGGAGTGAACCCAGGAATGTGCGTGTGGCAGGAATCTAGGCAGCATCGTCTTTTCAGGAATCTGTATGTACTCAGGCAGCTGTGACTTTTCACTGGGAAAATAAATCAAGAATTAAAATATTTTTTTTCCAGCGCATCTCCTCTGTAAGAGGGTTCAGTTGGCCTTAATTATAGACTGAATTACAGCTGCAGGCAATCGTTATTTCTTTGGGAGCTCAACTCGTTGGAGAGATGCGGCACCATGCTGAATTTTTTGGTCTCAAAGTTTGCGATTGTTTTGGACAGTCAATAACTTAAATGAAAAAGCATGGTCTTTGTCAGGCCACTGAATAAGAAATGAGCAAAGATGTTCTTTAACTGTTTATTTAACTGACGACGAGTTCTGGTGAGTGAAGTGAAAGGAAAGTGCTAACTTCATGCAGATGAACAAGTAGAAAAAAATGAAATGGAAAGTAAGTATCAGTGTGAGATGTTTCTGGCTGCTTTTCAATTCCAAATTGGGCTAATTCTACCTTCTGAAAAGAAGATAATTTCCACGTTTCTGTAATTGGGAACACATAATTGAAGTGATTTTCTCTCCGAGAGAAGAAACTTGTGCAGCATTTGCAAATGGACAAGAAAAAATGACCGCATACAGTGTACTCTGAATGATGGTGCATTCATGGTAGCATCATCTTCAGATGTCTTTGCAGATTTTGTACTGGGATTTTTACCCGTTTGGGTGAAAATTTGTATGTGGACGGGGAAAGTTCATGCTGGAGAATGCAGTCCACTCCCTCCAGAGCTCCTTCTGTCTGGGCAGCCAGAGCTCCAGAGGCAGCTGCTTACCAATGAGGTCTGGAGTACAGAGCACATACCAGAGAAGCGCTGAAGAAAGTTTCAACTCCATGTACCAAAATAATTGTGCAGCAATTTCACGTGACTGCTTCTTTTGACCTGGCTTTTTAGGAACTGAACTTTAATGAGGAAGATGAATCAGATGTTGTTGCACTGCTTGGAGTGGCACAAGCGATTAACTCACTTCCTTTTGTTTGTAACATGAAGATATTTTCTGCCATGGAGTTTAACCCTAGGAATGCTGGCAGTTCCTAGTCCATCTATTTGTAAATGCATACACATCTGCAAACACAACTGCATTTGTCATGCTTTACCCAAAGCTGCTCCATATTTGATGGGAATAGTGAAAAATAGTACTCAAGTGCTTCTGAAGCATGGTCCCTCTTTGCAGAGCAGAGCTCTTTTCCATTTTCACGGGCCACTTTATAATCTCTGATGTTGCTAGGATGCTCAGAGGATCTGGGAGGCCGCTCAGCACAGAGCACAGCTTTGAGCTCTCTGTGTCCCAGGCGCAGTGTACACTGAAGCATTGTAGAGAAGAGAGAATGCATGAAGATGATTGTGGCAGATTAGGCAGTAAATTGTATTTCTAGACAGCCTTGATCATGGTACAGATCGGGAGAAAACAGAGGAAGTTTAATAAACAACAACACAACTGTTCTGTAAGGAAAGCCAGAATTGTATTTTTACCCTGGCCTAACAAAGGAGGAGGAAGGAAACTGTTTTGCTGAAACAAGCATTCTAGATCCACTAAAGATACACTTCTCTATGTTTGTGTGTGCGTGTGCCCCGGCAAACTCAACAGCATGTTCATATGTACGAACTGCATTTTCCTGGAGGCACATAGTCAGCATGTGCCATGCAAGGAGAAAAAATATGTGCCTAGCATTGCTTAAATGCTGGTCAAAAAAGCGTAGCATTTTAGTCAAAATAAGTTAAAATGTCTCCTAACATTGTGGTTGGTGTGTGTTGTTTTTGCTGATGTTGAATACTGGATAAGAAATCTGCCCAATCTGGAAAAGTGCAACGTAGATAAAATATGAGAGCAGCCTTTTTATTGCGTGCGAGGATACATGGTTTCCCAAACTAGAGAAAGTCTGCAGATATTGATATTTCATTTTAAATGGCACAGCCAGAGCCCTTCCTGAAACAGACACGAGCAGCCTCCTGCTCCAGAGATGTGGCGACTGGTGTGAAGGAGCAGCACAGACCCCACAGCCATGCCATCCTCTGTGATTCCTTCGCAGGACAGCACTGGTCATTCATTCCATTCTGCCTGGAAACTGAAAGAGGATGAAATGATATTTTAAGTTGCCCAGATGCTAAACTGATTTTTCAAGCTAATAAATCCTTGGCTGCTCTTGCTGTGTTAAAATGTATGTTCAGGCAAGATTCATGGTCAGCTCACAGGAACAAGAGAGCAAAGGAAAATATGTGGTTCTTCCAAGATTAAATGCTTTGTATTTGGCAGCCTTAATTGCTTTATTAATGAAACTTTTTTTTTTCATGGCTACGTTATTTATTATTTCTAGTGAAGCAATTGTCAATTAGCCTTCTAAAAACAGCCACAAAAGACCAAGGGCAACTGGTGCTGTTGGGTTAAGTACCTGGCTCTGAGATTTGTTAAGTGAATGACCTTATCTATACCAAAATGAAATATCCCACAGAGGTGGCACTTATATGTCTTTGAAAGCAAATGTAAGTCCTGTGCACCATACAGGCTTGTCTCTCCATTTGAAAAAATAAGTTGTGGTAACCCAAACACGGTGTGGTTGCTTTTGTGCAAGAGCATTTGTTGAGCTATGTGTAGACATTCAAGATTAGCAGATGCTCAGCAACTTGCTCAGAACAACTGCTGGGCATATAGAAATCCTGGACAAGTGCATAAACGAGGAGGTTCCAGGAGAACCATGCCACCCAATTCATTTGTGCACTGCTGCTCCATTAGAGAGCAAGTGATAGGCAGCAGCCTGTACAACTGCCCTATTGTGAGTGCACAGCAAATCCAGCACTTCCAAGAAGCGCCGTCGTGCTACTGCACTCATGGGTGCTGCATGTGTGAGGGAGGTCAGGTCAACAGGAAAGAGAGGTGATGGAACACAGCTTAGCACAGGCCCTAGAAAAATAAATATGACGAGGTCAGGAACATGCAAGTGTTTGGTTTCGCGGAGTGGATGATTGAAGTATTATTGCTAAGCAGTGTTTGGAGACCTTCTCTACAATGATTGATGTCTCATTTGAAATTCTCTCTTGCCTGAAAGGAAAAAAGAATAAGAGTATTTAGTTAATTCTCTTGCAGTGTTTTAAAGTTGCTGTTCTCTGCTGAATGTGACTGGCTCTGTAAGAATTCATCATGTCAGGTGTATTCCATATAAGCTGGATAGAGGTGTACTGTTTTTCCAATGATCTTACTTTTTCTTCCCTTTTAAATAGGTAAAGAGCATGAAAAAGTGCTTACTTGTAGACTATCACTCAGAAGTTTCTTATGTGAGGTCCGATCTTTGATGAAGATAGAGATTAATCAATTAAATCCCTTCCTTTATTCAAATACTTCGTTTCATAAATAAGTTAGTTTTCACATGTGGGTCTTTCAAGAAAGCAGTGCACAGAAGGAAAACTGATGTCAGCATGTTTTTAATCCTGAAATGACCGAGTTTCTCACTGCAGACACCAAACTTAGCTTCTTCTAAGAAACTCTTAGGCATGTGACTATTTCTGTGCTTCTCAAAATACGCCTGTAGTTCTGCTGTTTTCCAGGGAGAAAGCTCACTGAGATGGACTTTAAATATTTTATGCTAGCTGTTAGCACATGAAGGCCAAGAGGTCTCAGTTCTTAAGTGCATACCAAAACCTTTGTATCCCTAGCACTAAAAATGTGCGGGTTAGCTCCTGCTCTTGCAAGTGTTAACAGCAGAATTTGTGTCAAAACAAACAAGAAGAGAACAAAACTAGCAGCTTGGAATTATCTGTCTTTGTCTATACACTCCGCCACTGTAGGAATGATTGTTCTAGCCTCTCTTTTATTGCATTGTTAAATGATGGAAGCTTTTGCCAAATCCAAACTGAAATGCTTCCAAAGTCTTTTTTCGGTGTTGGAAAATGTTTGTATCAAGTTATCCTTGGAATAATATTTCTCCTTTATTTATTACTGTGTGCTACCCAGTGGACACCTAATTATGAGGCACAGAGTTCTTCTCATTCTAATAGGATATGTAGCACTTTGCTGGACATTTTTAGGAGTCCATTTTCATTACATTAAATGGGATGTTTACTTGTGTGAATCTCTTGGGTTTTAAAAAAAGCAAAAAGACAATGAAGTTCAGCACTGAGCAGTCAATAGACTCTTTTACTGTAGGGGAATGCTTTTATACCACATCATAAACTGTTTGTTCTCTTTTTCTTTTTTTTAGAGTGGGTATCCAAGCTCTGGACCCACATCAAGCACTCCTGCCTTCAGGCCTGAAGATGAGCTGGAACATCTGACAAAGAAAATGCTGTATGACATGGAGAATCCTCCCTCTGATGACTACTTTGGTGAGCAGTGCGATGTCACGTTGGATCAGTCTTTCCATAGCCCCTTTCTGTATATACCAGGTTTGGTAATGGGGAGGGAGGCATGACAGCTGAGTGTTAATACAGTGACATTCGTACTGATAGATTTGCTTTCCATGCTTGGGCTGGAAGCGTAATCATCTGTAGGAATTCCTCTGTAATTTCAGCATAAATCTCATGCTCACTTGCTGTATGTTTACAGTCTTTCTGGTTACAAAGTGGAATTTTTCAGGTTTTGGTTCTTTTTGACACCGTCTGTCCCCAGCCTGTAGATTACCAGGGTGAATTCAGGTTTCATGCACTTTCTTGCCCATCTGCCCCATCCCTGTGTTCTCATTGCATCTGCAGAGAACCTGACAATGTAAATGCATTCTGCTCCTGTGTGCTGGCATAGATTAAAAAGAAACCCATTTTGAATCAATCAGGTTGGTTTTATATGGACACCCATTAGCCCAGAACTGGGTCCAACAAATATGAGGAAGATAAATCTGAGCTGATTGAGTCATTATATCTATGTCGTCTTCCTCACCTGCAAAAAGATAATGAGCTGATTTCTTTGGAAAGAGCATATAACTGAATTACCTTAGATTTCTATACATATAAAATATGTGTCTTACCTCTACGTAAAACAAGTGTTGCAGACTGTGAATCCTTCATTAAGGTCAAGAGATTTGGGCACATTTGATACATCCTGCCTGTGTGTTTAGTTTCTTACTAAGCATCAGTGTCCTGTTGTTAGGAAACAAACTGCTTTAATTGATATAGTTAACAGCTAGATTAAGCTATTCATTTTGTCGTTTTTCGCCTTCCTTTATTTCATCATTTCTTAAAAATGTCATTTAGATTGCCCTGTAGGTCTGCTGGTTATAGATTTTGGTTGGACAAAAGCATGTCTGAATTAAAGAAACTTCAGTCGTTTTATTTAATTGGAAAGCAGGAGGAAGCAAGGTCCTAATAAACAAGGATTTTTCAGTGAAAAGAATCTGATTACATGAGAAGGTCAAGATGTTCTCATCAGATAAACATAATTCTGTGACATCCCCATTCTCCATCAGTATCCTCTGCCTTCCATGGTGTCCACCCTTACAGCCAAAATGTCTTCTTTGTAAATGGTGACGGTCATCAAAGCTGATGACTGGCACAGATTTAAGTGTAAGTAAGAATGACTTTCTGAAGACGGGATAACCAGAGAGCATTTTCTGTGTTGCTGCATTTGACTTTGTCTCTGCCCCATACTCATTTGAGTTCACTCTCTAATGTTTTAAAAGAGAAGCAACAACAAGCCAAACAAACATAACATGTACTTAGCTGTTAGTGTGGGCGGGCAAGAAGGAGAAGCCTTTTTCCTGCTCCCTTCAGGCAAACGGCTGAAGCCCTGAAGCATGAGATTTGATTACAGTCATTTTCTTAATGCAGAACTGTAAGTGGCAAGAGCCAGTTCAGGGACTGAAGCCCACTCCATTCTTTCCATAAGCTCCGTAAGTCAGTTGGGTGAGCAGAATATTTGGAAACTCACAGGATCTAAGTTCAGAAGAGACCTTGCCACTATACAGCCCGTTGTCCTACTGGTCCTACTGTCAATTTCTCCCAAAAAGCTTGATTGAATCAGGACTTTAAAAAGCAAAAAAATTTTAAAAAATCTAATCTTTTTATCTTAAAGACTTGAAGCAATGGTGAGTCAACCACCTACCCTGGTAAGCTGTTCTAGTGATTAATTTTCCTCACAGCTCAGAAATTGCTTCCTGAAGTGAAGCTTTAGTTTTGTTTAGCACTTGTATTTATGGAGCTGAAATGCTAGGGTTTTGCAGACTAATAATGTATCACTGAGATGGTTCTGCTCTGTTTGCGAGCGTGGTGCATCAAAAGCTTATTCATCTAAAAGGGATGCATGGCTCAGAGGATTGGAACATAAGGTCTCTCAATGTTAGGTCATCAATTTGGCTATCAGATGGAAGGTCAGACCAATGCCTTGCCAGTAGCTCTTAATTCAGCAGGAGAACAGGAGATGGAAAGGAGCATCCAGATCGTTTGGAAATGTTGCCAATGTTGTTATAAGCAGCAGCATGATCAAAGATAGAGTGATTGTGCATGATGCAAGCTGCTTGGTGAAAATCAAACAACACTAGTCGTCCTTGGGCAGATGATGCTTAATTACAAGCTGCACCTGATGGATCTTCTAATTGACTCAGTCTATACCACTGAAGATCATCTCTGAGTCTCCAGCCTTGGCATTCTTGATGTGCAGATAAACTGTGTGTTGAGCTGAACTCCTCAGCTTTAAGCATGCTGTGCCCCATGCGGCAATTTGGGAAACATAGCCACAACTAATTATATACCTTCCAAGAAAAATACAAAACAAAACTAGCAGTCCTGGGACACAACTGCTTTTTATGGTGGGATAAAATCAAAGAGGTGGTCTGCCCTCATCCCTTTAGGTTTATTCCAGCCCGACCTACTCTCAGAGGAAAATGGTCTCTGGGATCACAGTGGTTGAGGATTTCAGATATGGCAGTGCAGGCTTGGGAGTTTTATACTAATTCTGGCTTTGTCAGAGCTGAAAACCCATCTACTGAGCTGTCAGCCTGGTGCCTCCCCACAACTTTGTGCTCATGTGGAAAGAAGAAATTAAGTGTAGGAGGAAAAAAGGAGTCTTTCAACTTTGGTTAACTGTCTGAACCAGTATCTCTGCCTTTATTCTCCGTTCTTTATTTGTTTAGCATAGTAACATGGATTGTACAAGATTCATATGGCACATTGATCCAATAATCAGAAAAAGGACAAATGGGCAGAGACATTGACTCTGATTTGCATTAAATATCTTCTGCCTGGGGTCTAAATGCCATGGTAATTGTAGCATACCAGATAGCTGTCAGCTAATCACTTTTATTAGTTTGAATTTAGAAAACTGGATTTCAGCATATTAAAAGTTGGTTAAGAACAGATAGGTTTTGAATTGAGGAATCTAATTAACCTTGCTAGAAAGCTGCAAGGCGTTATATTAAGTCATGGAAATAATTTGTTGGAATAATTACATTTGAACTGTCAGACTGGAGAAAGGTCATTTTACTTGCCCTGTCAGCACACTAAGATCTTTTCCATAACCATCTTCCTGCTGCAATTCCACTTTCCTTTTCTCTGGTTTACCAACGAGCCATCTTGTTTCAGCATAGGCAGATGTTCCTGGAGAGGGAGGAGGAGCAAGAGCCTGAAGCCTCTTTGCCCTGGCCATGCCAGCTGGTGCTGCTGGGAGACTGGGTGAGCTGAGTTTGGGAGCCAGCCAGCCAGCACTTCCATCAGGGCTCTGCTCACCACAACACTTCTCTGCAGCTTCCCTGAGTTCAGGTTACTGGAGGTGGTTTCAGAGAGGGGGGAAACTGCTGTAGCCAGGGACTACTCACCAAGGCACACACAGCTGGTAGCATATTATGTCTCATGCTGCATTCCTGAGGAACCAGGGAACATGGTAAGCCAAGAAACAGCATGCTGGAAGCACACTTTGAAGGAGCAAGATCAGTTATTGCCTAGACTCACTACAGCGGCACGATCTGTCACTGGGAAATCCTCTAGCTGGCAGTGGCAAGGCAGTGATTAATCACAGAATTATAATCAGAGAGCATCGTACTTACACAGATGAACAAAAAGAGTGCATTTTTAGGAGTTAAACATACAATTCTGGTAATTCTACTTTCTCAGTTTTGTTGAAAGCCCACTCTATCATACTGCATCTAAGTACCCCAGTCATTGTGCGTATCACCTCCTACCCTCCTGTAGGTTATGGAATGACATACAGAGTGATTTCTCTCTGGAAGTCCTTGACAGATCAGCAAATTGAAGTCTCCTAAGTCTAGGTTACTCTTTACTGCTGATTCAGTTGCTGATCTGTGGTAGCTGGCTGTCTTTAATCTAATCCCTTTTTATTAGAAAGGATTCCCACATGTGTTATGCAGTGTCCGTTAAGGATGCTTTCTCCCTGTCACAGCCCTCTGTATTGCTAAATGTGTGATCACAGATAGGCAAGTTTGAAGAAAATATTTATTGGAGTGGAAATTGATTAAGGATGGGGAAGGAGAAACGAAGATTTGCAGGAGATTAGGATAAATCTATCAAAATATTTTGTTGGCCACCATGGGAAGCTACAGCCTCTGGTTTTGCATTTTTTTTTAATGGAACACGGACCACACAAAGGTCACTACTGTTCTGGACCACAATTTCAAGTATCTTAGAAAGAAAGAACTTCTGGCAGCTTATCAGTCTCTATCACCATGCAGTCAGTGCTGATTAAGACTGGAAAAGTGCCATCAGGGCCCCCCATCTTCTCCTGCTTTCTGGATTATGAGTCACTCCCTACAGCAGGGAGTTTTCCTAACTGGAGGGAAGAAGCATTTTCTGGCATTTTACTGAAGGCACTTAGATCTACCAAAGGAGTTTTACGTCCATGATAGCATAGCAGTTTCCTCTTGTAATGTAGGAATGCACACAGGGAGAAGAGAGGTACAAGAATGATGCTCTTGTACAATAAAGGGGCCTTGATTTGTCTCGGAGCTAACAGTTCAGGAGATGTATTTTTCTTTTATGTGTTTGTCATATGTTCCAGCTTTGACACTGGAAATGATGGTGCTGAGTAGTGTGAAGAGCAAGGCCAACAAACAGGATGCTTGTCTTTTTTTCCTTCTCATCCTGAATCTTAGTGAGACCTTTGGTAGATATTTCACCTCTGCAGACTCCTTTGTTTCCCCTTTCACTCTTTTTGCAGTGCATTCAGTGTTCATGGTCCTTCAGATACAAGCAGTGGTTGTAGGAGTGCATCCTACAGAGAAGCCTTCATCTTCTACAATTTTTTAAGATGCAGCGTCACAATTAAGGTGATTCTATGATCGTATGATTCTGTGTGGGGACGAGACTGCTCACTACGTTGTGCAGGAATGGCTGCCTTCCATTCGTGGCATCTCTGTCTGTTGGCATAGCTCTGTGGGCTAAACAGT